TAAAACGCACTTTGTAAGCACATATGATATGTGGATGTTGGGCTAAGGATATGAGTGACATAAAATATGAGAAATTCTGGTAGGCCTATCATTCGAATGTTTCTAGTAATGCATCGTGTTGGTCTTAAATTTTACTCATAATGGTCTTAAAATGTCTTAAAACTGAGGAAAGACTGAGGAAAGTCCGGATGTCCCCCAGAACCCTGTGCAGATTCTACAGGTGTACTGTGGAATCCATCCTGACAGGACGCATCACCTCCTGGTACGGCAACTGCTCAGCTCAGGACAACAGAGCTCTGCAGCGGGTGGAGAAATCAGCACAGAAGATCATGGGCACACAGCTCCCTGCGATCCGTGACATCCAGACTACACGCTGTCTCAGGAAGGTGACCTGTATCAGGCGGGACCCCAGCCACCCTGCACTGTCACTTCTCACCCTCCTCCCATCTGGGAGGCGACTACAGTCCATTCAGATGTTCACCTCCAGGTTCAGAGACAGTTTATACCCAACTGCAATCAGACTCATGAACAATCAGTAACCTTGTGTCACCTCCACTGCTACCTGCACATATACTTCTGCCACTGTCTCTATTTATTCCTGGGATTCTGGTCTTATTTATTTATTTATTTACTCATTGTCTTGTCTATCCATCTTGTCTATGTTCACTGTCTGCAGGAGCACATGCAAGCAGGCATTTCATTGTACGTGGTACTCGTACTTGTACACATGACAATGATATGCACTATATTTGATGTGTCTTTACAAAACTGAGACACAGAGGCAAGAGAAGGCTTCCAATACAGCACTACAGTACTTGATCGATCAAGGGAGGCTCATATACCATCAACTTCAATATTTCTTCTTGGACTCCTCGATATTTTTCTCTGTCCTCTTTCGTCCCTCAGGCTGTTTCTCAAGGTGAGGTTTGTCTCCTTACCATATACCTGCTCAGAATTGCCCTGGTTCCTGGCTAGGGAGCCCCTAACGCCCCCCAGATCTCATCATATCAGGTTCATACTCCACCTGTCGCTAAGCATTATTAGGGGAGGTAGCCTGTAATAACACATGCTGTAGTAACTCGACAAAGTGTCAAAGAAGACATCCATCTTTATTGTTTATTACATAATGCACAGTATCACATTTTCATCATTAAAAAGTGCAACTCCTGCATTTTGTAATAACTACAGCAATATGTAATAATTTATAACAAAATGTTGGAAAATTTATTACATATTGCATTCTATTGCAAAATGCGACGTACTGTTACAAAATGCAGGTGTTATTACATAACGAAGTGAAAATTTGTTACATTTTGTCAAGTTATTACATAATGCTATATTCTTACATAACACATTGTTACAAGGCCTCCTGTCCTCAGCCACATATCTTTCTCACATTCTTGCTTCAGACAATCATCTATTCTTATCTGTAATTCTTAGTCAATTTAATACACATGCATAATTTTAACTGTTGATTACAATATTCTTATTATAGGATGAATTAACAGGATTAATACTGATTAAGGTCTTAATCTGTAACTTTAAAAATCACTTCCACCTAATTCTCTAATTCTCTGCAGAGAATAATGGTGGTAAACTACAGTTAAAACTGAAACCGTCTGTACTCAGTGTTGCCAGGTCCAGGAAAAATCAGTATTTTGCATGCTGATCATATGCAAATGTTCAACATTTTAAAACCACAGTTAATGACGTAGATGGACGAAATCTCTTTTCCCTGGGCTGCCAACTTTAGTCAGCTGGGTGGAGTGAGTCAAGTCTGCACATTCATTTACATGTATGTAACAGTTTTATTACCTTGTCAATAGTCTGTAGGGTCTGCAAACTACCATAACGCTTCTGATGTAGCTAATTTTGGGTTTTAATGGAATAAAATAGATTTTCCGTAAAATGATCCAGTATTACTCAGGATTAGGAACGGCTTGTATTCATTATAATTAATTTCTCTTACAGTCCAATGCCGCGGAACATTATGAAAGCAGTCCAAAAACCCGCAACCCGCAACATCCTAATATGAACTCGCAACTGTATTCGGACCTGGCAACTCTGTCTGTACTAAAGGCTGTACGTCTGACCTAATTGCAATTCATTTACTGACTGGCAGGTGGCAGCATTGACAAATAAGTCTATGTAAAAACTGCAC